TAGTGCTACTCCGGATCTAGTTACCTTAAGAAAGAATAACACTGCATGTTATGAGTAGAAGTAAAATTATATACTTTAACATTTCAGATTAATTATACATAAAGTACTTGAATATCTATTGTCTGCGACGGCCTATTCTTCCTTCAGTGTCTTGTACATCAGATTGTTTATTAACTCTGTTTGTATTGCTTTAGTGTGCAGTGCTAGTTTGAGTCTGCAATGTCCTCCAGTCTCTCGTTTTGCTTAGTTTGCTTGAGAGGACTCATCATTTATCTCGGTAAAAAGTAAAACCCTCCCCCTATACATGCATACTACAGCCCTTTTTATACATACGGCTTTTACTCTTATTAATAATTATAACACCAGTGTTTTATTTTTGGTAGACGTTGGTTGTTTCCTAATCTCGTTATTCGATTGGTTTCGTCCTTTGTGTCTTGAATTTCCATTTCTAAACCCGTGGCGATGTATAGAATATGCTCACCTGGAAATGCACTCCCATGTACTAATAGGACTACCGAGTAAATCAGCATCACTGGGTGGTGCATTCCGCTCTCATCTCAGAGCAGAGTTTGGCCGGGGCAAGACCGTGGTTAGGAATATTGATAATAGGACCTAATATCCACCTTTGGCCTCGGCGACTTTCATTGTTGTCAGGTTCAACATAACTATTGTGTCTCTTGTGTGCTATTTTTATATTTTCTGTTATTGGTTTGTGCGCCCCGTTTTTTCTGTGGTGTGGTGCGCGCTTAGGTGATCTTGTTTTGGTCGTTTTTGCAATGTTGTTGACCCTACATTGGTCCGTGTTATGTACACAGATACATGCTCCAGGGCTACGCGGATAGGGCAAAAATATCTGTGGGTAATGTTACAATTTATTAATAAGCTGTGCTCAAGATGCATTTTATACTACCGTCTTTGGCATGAAGCCTAGGCAACATAGAATGAAAAATAGTGACAACGAGCAAATGTAGAATTCTCATCCGGCCAGCAACAAAGCCACTTCCAACTCGAAATGAAAATCTTATTCTCCATGCTCCTCAGTTCATGTCTCAAAAACGAAAGAGAGCAAGAAATATAACGTTACGATGTGTTACTCTGACAAAGTAGCCATAGCTTAGCACATTTAGGACCCCTTCTCAGCAATTGTGCGAAACTCTTTTTAGATAGAAAGGTGTTGTGTGTGGTGGCATACAGTTGGCATCCTTATTCACTGTAGCAATGGATTTAGAGTACTTGATGCGCGCGCAGCTGATTTGTACATAGCTCTGTGAACTGCGGCCTGGACCGTATTGATCACAATAGCCATCAGAGAATTTGGTTGGGGAGGTATGTGGACTCATGTTCTCCTTTCATCTGTAATGTCTTCCCACGAATTGAATGATGTGTGTGTCACGACCTGTTGTGGACTTACACTGTGTTACAGTATGGATTTGATTGGCAACCAAAAGCCGATTTGTTAAGCTACTTCGATTTTGGGGATCAGAGGTACTCAATTACTCACACTATCAATACTTCATATCACCGTTGTTCCCTCCAGTTCTTGCTGTGTATGTTATGTGCTGAGGTGAATGTTAATGAAGACTGTAGTTGCCATCACCTCCAGTGGTACGAACACCATATCTCTATACTGGAAGCGTATGGGGTGGAATCCAATACATCAGAGTTGCGTTATGTGGGGCTGTTCTATGTGTCTGCTAAGGGGATCAGTGAACGTTATTTAGATTTTATGATATTGTTATGGATAAGTGGCGACAAAAACAATGTGAAACCTCCGCCAACGACTAGGTGGTGGATTGTGAAAGCGATCTTGTAAGTCTTTATTTAATTTATTCAGCTGATGACATCTTTAATTATTTTTATTAATACCTAAATGTGTTCATTGGGAATCGACGATTGAGGAATGAAAAAATTAACATCTAATAAGACAAAGTAGCCCAGAAAAACAATTATGGGCCGGATAAATCGTGCATCCATGTGCATGGGAGGTTCGTAATGCTAGGTAGTTATGTGACACACGTGTCCCCAGCAATAACATCATAGTCCGGCCGCGTTAGCAGTACGATAGGCAGCGAAGGGATGCCATAGACTTGATGTGTGAGAAAAACTTGATATCTGACACCCTAATGCAGCTCCAACAAGATGAAGAAAAAAGATAGAATGAAATACACTACCACATGTTAAGTGTCTATACCTATGTGAGTTCGTCTCCAGATATTGTGTGTGTGCCATTTATAGCCGTTGGGAAAAACTCGACACTCATTCTGCGACAGCCAAAAAAGCCCTTGGACTTAAACTCCAATGAGACCTTTTATCTCTCCACCAACATTCATTAAACGCCTAAGGTGTTAGTCAGAGATAGATAAGATGAGAGAGAAGACATGTGGAAGGTCGTTACTGAATAAGACCAGCGACTTAAGACATCGAATAACCGAGGAATCAGCAGAAAAGGATTACAACGACAGATTTAGAGCGACGACATAGATTGATAGCGGTAGAGAGCACTCTAGCTGAGTGATTTCACATACAGCTGAACATATGCGGCTAATGAGGCTCTTTAGCAATACAAATGTTAATATAGAGAAATGTATACAAAACATGTAACGGATACAGTATCTTATTGGCGCAGTATATAAAGGCAGCGAATTAACTTTGTAAAGAGATCAACTGTACACCTATAGACGACGCGTAACCCTCACACAAGTAAAGTCCAAACTTAAGCACGGTCTAGAAACAAGTCTGAACCGTCTTGATTTCGAAAAAGTTGTATCTTCTAACGCAATTTTTAAAGATAATTATTAGGCAGCACCAAGGCCGTCGGGGGTGAGGGGTTACGGACGGGGGGGTTCCTGGGGAAAAGTATGGGGCTTTACTCTGCTCTTGGAAGGTAGAAAACCCGAACGAAAAGAATTCTCAGTGCAGGACATAAGTAGTTAAAAACGCCCTAGGCATTTTTCTTATTTAGGGTGTGTTACCTGAAATACTCACAGACTATCATGTTCTCATACTCTGTAATCTACTCAAAGCATCCCTCGCACATAACCATGAAGACCTTCCAAGTGTGAATAGGGGTAAGAATGAGAGGACCTCGCACTTCTTGGCCCCGCGATTTGCTTTTGTTTGATTTAGTGTACAGCGTTGTGATCTTTAGACCAGAATCATCCCCTCTAGACTGGGGCTATGGTGGTGATGGACACCTTGGCCGGGCGCGACCGGGGTCCCGCGGACTGGTTGCTCGGTCAGCACGTTGCGGGGCTTTTCTTGGAAACAGAGTTCTCAGGGCGAGGCAAGGCTGCGCGCCTTCAAGCATAGAGAACGAATAAACAAACAACAAAAAAATACCCAATTAAAAAAAAGGGTAACTAACTCTAGCCTCATCCGACGCTCAGCACAAGCTTTCCACTTTCACAGATATCCCTACCATTAGTCTTATTTTATACACATCACAGATTGAGTGGGAGCAGCGGACGAGGTCTTTTTAGCAACAAGAAGACGTTAGAAAGAACCATTATATCAGCCTCAATGAATATCTATGGTGATAAACTAATGTTGCGCTAGGGCTACTTTAGACCGAGTTTGGGAATAGCAGAAGATATCTGTGGGCCCACAGCGAGAGGTGTGGCAAGGACTGCAATCTGACCCACACCCGCCACCTCGCTTCTTGAATGCTGGGTTTTTGAGGATTTAGTGGGACAGGCGCTGGGTTTGCCGCGAGCAAGTGAGAAACTTGCGGGTTGTAGTTGGGGCTGGATGCAAAACAACGATAGATGTCGGACTCATCCTACAAGTTGTCTATCGCTAACTTGCCTTGCATCCGTGGCCTAGAGCTCAGTCTGGTACGTCGCCAATATTGTGTTTGAAAGTCGGCAGAGCATCTGCCACTATGTTTTTTGAAAATGATAAGGGAAAAGGTATGCTTTATTTGCCCATATTTAATTCACTTCCAACTGGAATTAGGACCACTTTCGCAGGGAAATCTCATGTGAGCTTGTGAGCCCCAGCACGGTTTAATTAATGTGCATTGTTCTGTCGTAGTGGCGCGGTTCACTGAACTAAAGTAGTAGCCGAGGCCTAATGGGGGTATCTGCAGCTCGCGCTTTACTTTTCGAATGAGAGTAGACATATACAGAGGGCTACAACACCCAAACTTAGCAAAATGACAAAACGTCAGACACCATAAGTCTTCAGTCAACACGAGAAAACACAAAACGCCCTCGAGTTCACTAAAACAATGGGATGCGCAAGTGGATGCATGGTGAGACGTGGCCGGTCAAAGACGGAACGCACTGCAGTGTCCCGGAGCCGTCAACCTGAATCTGTCACCCTGTG